GGGGGGGGGGGGGGGGGGGGGGGTGGAAAGTGGGTGTTGAGGAGGCCATTGACGCGATGGGGGCATCGACGGGACCAAGACTGAAATTTTGAAATAGCTGGCTACTTAAAATTCCGAAATGGGCCTCAGGTAAACAGCTGTGTAATGCAAATAAGGAATCAGAACATCTATGTTGATTGATATCCGGTGTACAGAATGCAGTAAAAATGGGAAATGAAATACTTGCACACATTTTTTTATTTCTAGAGAGTTTTATCCGATATTTTAGTTACATTTCGAGTAAACTCTGGCGTTATAATAATTCTGATCGACATAGTTAATCCAAAAAACCATCAGTGTGGCAGCGCTCAAGACCAGAATAGCTAAGAGGACGAAAAAACACATGGCGTATTTGTCTGTTTCCATGGTGATGTGATATGCAGGTATTCCCTCCGGCCACAGTTAAAATATTCAAATCCGTAGACAGGTACTGTAGTCAGGCCCATTGATTTAATCGGAATGGAGCGTGTGTGTGTGTGTGTGTGTGTCACGCTAAGAAACAACGTATCGAGGAATGTCGGGACTTACTCATAAGTAACGTCTATATTCCCTCCCTACTCCAGTTATTGTCTCTACATAGGGTATTCAACCACTGCAATTGTAATCTGGAAAACTGGATGGTATGTTAAATATAATTTTTTCTCTTCTGAATTCTCAAACAAATCATCTCTTTAGAACGATGTATATAGTGAAGAGGCGGCCAAGCAGGTGTTTTCAACGATTAAAGAATGCGGTCTCCAGGCGTTTGCCGGTCCAGTTTTATGTCCAGTTCATTTGAATCACTATGACATTATCCGCATAATGGTGAATGGGTCTTTGAACTCCGTCACAGAACCGAAACCAGGGTTTTGGAAGAAGATGACTCTATCTTTAAGGAATAGGATAGGAAGGAGGGATGGTTTTGAGGAGATTTCAAATAAAATAAACGAATAAATTTTACAGTATATTAAATTATTTATTCACACATTTTGGATTCATTGATCCATAGTAACCAGATGCGGTGACTTGTCGCCAAAATATCTGGCAACACCGTTCAATTGAAAAATATTAAAATTAATCAATATTAATTAAAAAAATTCCAGTAGAAGGGCGGCGATGAGTCATCCGATGTTAAAGTGAATCAAATTCGACGGAAAGTAACGGAACTCCCGGTAGCTCAGTAGGTACAGCACCAGACCGGCAATCTGAAGGTCGCGAATTCTAACCTCGCTCGGGCATTCCTCAATTTTTTTCGAAATTGAGTCACAAATATCATAGTTGCCTCAACTGAGAAGATGGCTATTTCTTTAGGAACAAAGGTCTCCTTAGGCCCTACCAGCTCTGGCATATCAATAACGACTTCTTTTAATTTATTCGGAGCCATGGTATTTCTACACTCGGACACTGATTCTCGTAGATTGATCGCCTTCCATTACACTCGTCGGTTTTTCATTTGAAAAAATACAGATGGCAGCAGCATCAGTTTTGATAACGTCCAAGATAAGCATTACATACTGTACAATAATGATGTTGAGTTGAAGATGTTTTGATGCAGTATACACAGGGTATAACGCACCAAAAACTGGGACGAAAAAGGGCTAAGTAGTATAGTAAGGCCGGTTCTGGATAAAAAACGTCCAAAACGACCCATCTGAGAATGGCGAACGGGGGGGTGAGGGGTCGGCATTCGAATGCTGCCTCAGACATGTGGGGGGGGGGATTTGATATTGTGAGTTGGAAAGAGTTGGTTGTGATTGCGCCCCCTCCAATGTTTATCAGTGGACACGTACGCATTGTATAAACAATCGTGATCGACCTTGATACCGCTTGGTGGATCGCTGGAGAGTTGAATCGATGTCGAATGCAATCCACTGAATGAAAAAAAAAGTTTCCAGAGAATTTTCAAATGTTTTATCGTTTTTGGGAATAATAATAATTTCAGAAAAATGTATTGATCAGGAATATG